AAAAAGTCCATATTGATGTTTTAAAATATCACAAACGATTCTGAAAACTTGAGTTTTTCAGACCACTGACAGGTCCACTGACTTGTAAGCTCGCTGATCACATATTCGCTTGTTGGTATACGCGTAAAAAAATATCGATTGTGCTGCCAGATCAAAATATCGATTTCTGTTGTAAAATCAAAATACCGATCACAACTGCTGATTTTATTTGTGATTTTTTAACTGCATAATTTCTAGTTTCGATCCCATGCCATCTGGGGTGCACTGATTTCGTTATTGGTTGCTAATCCTCGGGTCCACGGCTGCTGTTGATGAGCTTATCAACGACAGGCAAACACACTCTAGTATGTGGTTTATTGAAATTTCTGCAAATCTTTTCATACATGAATGCAATATATATTTGTCATAACCATCAACCAGTCAGCCATGTAGCTGTAATAGAGGTCAAAAAGATATCTATTTTCCTCATTGGGTTCCAAATGCCGAGAATCCCACCACGCATGCTATCACGGGTTATTAAATATATAACACATAAACATTTGCTGCGTCGCGGCCATCGGTCTTCTCGTTCATTTACCGGCAGATTGCTTCTTCCGATGAAGTGCCGAATATGTCGATAAATAATATAAACATTGCCATCTATCACCTGGTGTGTCTCGAACTCTCTTTAACCAGCGATGCAAATCGATAACAAGGAGATTATAAATGTGCATTAGACAGATGCAAAATTTGACTTTTTCGCTCCACAGTGCTTAAATGGTTTCAAATCGGGTCCTGATGAGCCTCCCAAAGTTACAACTCATTTGGTTTGAAACAGACTTCGCACAAGCCATTTGAAGTTTACATGTAAATTACTATGGGAAATCTCAACTTTTTGTTCATTGCCTTCTGGTCTTTTTCCATTTTGAGCTGCAAAACAGTTCGATATCCATTCTTATAGCAAATTTTCTCAGCTACAACTTTGCTAAAGATCGTTTCTATGTAAAACGAGACAGGAAAAAGTTATTAATTATTTAACAAATTGGTTAACTTATGACATGAACAAGCAGTTGCTCTGTAGGCAACACTGTATTTTGCAGTGTGACATAGTAGCCATGATTTTTGTGTCCTATTCAACGCCCCAGAAACACCAATGATACCTGCTGAGCAGTTGGATGAGCATGATCATAAGACATCAGCGCATTGAACCATGGATAACTTTCGATCCTTGCAATTTAAAAAAAAAGTGGTCTTCAGCAAAGTTGTAGCTGGGAAAATTTCCTACAAGTAAAGTTGAAAGCTTTTGAAGCAGACCGATATGGTGAATTATTAGATAGACATGAACAAAAATCTTGGTTTTACCATAGTAATTCCCATACAAACTTCAAATGGTTTGTGCCATCTCAGTTTCTCACCAAATGGGTTCAAATTTTGAGAGGTTAGTCAGGATCCGATTTGGAATCGTTTAAGTATTGTGGAGCGAAAATTTCAAATTTTGCATCACTCTAATGTGCATCGATGACAATCTTTGTTGTTCTTTGTCAAAGTTCAAAGTTACGATGATAGGGGAAAAGTTGGCTTCGGCAATACCTTAACCTATTATCGACAGGGGGTAAACAACGTCCTTGAGAGCTCAATTTTGGTATGTGGATACATTGTGTTTCAGAGCAACTAATGGCAAAATTTGACTGCTCTAAGACTTTGTTTACCCCCCTGACGAAAATAGGCTAAGGTATTGCCGAAGCCAACTTTTCTCATATCAGTATTTAAATACACTGGTGGACATAAGTATTCGTCACACGCTCATTATCATTGTTCATGTTACTTTACGGAAATTGTATTTACTATCAACGTAATAATTCGAGTGAAAAAGACTCTCCGCATTGTTCTTTAACTGATGAGTCGAAGTTATAAAAGAACCATTCGATTTTTCGTAGATACTGGCCATAAAATACTTCAGTATCCTTTTTTTTGGGTGGACAAAAGTATTCGTCACGGAATTGAGATTATTTTAATATCCAAGCCAAAAATCTGGGAACACTGCAAATTAATGAATTTGACATTTTCCATTCACTAATGTTTACTTTTTGTCAAATTCGACTGCTCTTGCGCGATCTTTATCCGATTTAAAAAAAAAATGGGTAGAAAAGGCAAAGAAACTACGGTGGAAGAGAGAAAAATCATCTTGAATTTGTTTAAGTTGGGAAAAACTGTTTCCGAAATAGCTGAGAGTGTTGGTAGGCCCAGAACAACGGTTCAGGACATAATCAAACGATACAAAAATGGCGAAAACCTCAGCAATAAGGCTAGAACAGGACGTCCCTGCAGGTTGACGGACAGAGAAAAGCGAAAAATTGTACAAATTATTGGGAAAGAACCGAAAGTATCTTCATCAAAAGTGCGAGCGGAGTTACTGGAGTTCAGTGGAAAAGAAGTTAACTCCAGAACAGTGCGCAGAGTGTTGAATAAAGCCCAGTATAATGCGCGTGTGTGCCGTAAAAAACCTTTAATAAGTAAGGTTAATCAGGCTAAGAGATTGAACTTCGCAAAAGAGTACCAGAATCACCCAACCAGCTTCTGGAACAAAGTGCTATTCTCCGATGAAAGTAAATTTAATGTTTATAGATCAGATGGACGAGTTCTGGTATGGCGGAGACCAGGCACTGAGCTGCAGAAGAAGAACATCCAAACTACCGTCAAACATGGGGGTTCATCAGTGATGGTCTGGGGTTGTATCATAGAGGTAACTCTAAGACTAGAAGGTCCCGAAATAACGTGCTCAACTTTTTGGCTCAGCTCTGGTACTCTCTTCGGTCCCAAGCTAATCGATTCACCCCTCGAAACATATGAAAAACCAATAACCCCTCATTTTATCTATCAAACTTTCATAGCGAATCAAAACAAACATTGCGTAGTACTAGAATTTCGACTAGAATGGGGTACGTTAATCGTTTGCTTGGGACCAATAGGCTACTAAAGTGGTGAGCCAATTTAAAATCGTTAGTTTCGTATTGATTGTTGGTTGTATGGCTGCATCTGGTGTTGGGGAATTGGTGTTTATTGATGGAATCATGAAAAAAGAGGAGTATTTGAATATTTTGAAACAAAATATGAAGCAAAGTGCTGTAAAGTTGGGCATAGGGGACGAATTCTATTTCCAACAAGACAACGACCCGAAGCACACCGCGGAAGTTGTACGTCTTTGGCTTCTTTCTAATACTCCTCACCAGCTCAAAACACCACCCCAGTCACCGGATATGAATCCAATCGAACATCTGTGGGATGTTCTTGATCGGCGCGTTCGACAACATCACATAACCTCACAAAAACAGTTGAGAGAAATCCTTCGTGAAGAATGGTATAAGATCGAACCCTCGGTCTGTGAAAAACTGGTTCACTCGATGCAAAACCGATTGAAAGAGGTCATCAGACAAAGAGGATTAAATACAAGTTATTAATAATTTGAATAATTTCCCCAATGATGATTTTCCAGAGAGATTTTCTTAATGACGAATACTTTTGTCCAGCTGAATTTAGAGTAATTGTTAATGTTTTCTCAATATCATCAGCTTACATTCGTTTTGTTGGATTTTTAATAAACGGAAATGCGAATGAACCTTGGTTGTTTTATTTGAAGTACACTTTGTTACGAAATAAAATCACACCGCCTAGAAAAATATCACGAAAACATGATACATGTGCACGACGAATACTTATGTCCATCAGTGTATTTATTGATAAATATTTGTAAAGAATACTAAAGTCCATGTGACATATCGAAATTAAAAGAAATTTAGTATGGCACCTTTATAAATTACTATCATATGACCGATGAAAAAATAATCTTAAATGTAAGTATCGATCAATAAAGATTTTTAAATGTGTACATCGAAATCATAGAAAATTTAAAGTAAAAAATTGCCGACATTATTTTTTTCACTTTATTTCTGTATGAAGAACTTTGAAGAAGTTTCACGAACGGTTGGTCGGGAGGCGATAATAAACATCCAACCACGAATGAACAAAAACAAATGTAGATTCCGATACTCAGGGGTTGCCTTGACACAAGAGAATGTGTTTATGCCAAAATTCAAATGCATACAGGTAGTTGGTCTACCTGTTAAGGTTGTCTTCATTTCAGCTAAGTTGAGTGTAGAAGGAATGATTTTTATCAGCACTGATCATGTTGTTTCAAAGGTCCTTGAATTTTTGCGGTTCACTGGTCATCCTAGCTAAAAAAATTTAATTTATCAACAGATATGCATATTTTGTCATAACTACTGTAGACTTCCTTAGTGCCAAGTATTCAATTTAAAAATGGTGTTGATATTTTTCCATTGCACTCTATTTTAGTTGTGAAAAAGTGACTTTAGTGACTATTTTTAGGGAAATAGTGACCAGCCCTGTGTAGACCATACAGAGAAGCAGCAAAAAGTCAGCGGCTGGTGCTGTGGAAGGAAACAGGATTGGAAGAAAAAAGGAAGTAGTGGGCACGGCATAAAACGGAAGCAAACCTCCCGTCGCCTCCCTGGCAAAGTAAAGCAAGCATTTCTAAGAGGCGAATGCACAATAGTGTAAAACCTTTTAAATACACGACTAACAACAACAACAAGAACAGTAAGGCAAACAATAATTAATGTGTTCCATGTATATTGATTTATAATTAGGCTGATGCAAATTTTATTTTTATGTAATGTCACCCTTCAATGAGATAAATAAATTACAAAATATTGACGGGACAAAAAAATGTCTGAATAAGCTCTTGTTTTGCTTCCAATGTTTGTTGGGATGGGGGCCCCCATCCTATGTTCAATTTACAATTTTCTAGACATGCGCATATTACCCCCGTTCTCCTCTACCTCCATTGGTATAACGTTCAATCAACGAAAAGCTGAAAATCGATGGATAAGATTAGTGACGAACAAGATTAATATGCCTCACCCGTCCTACTGATGAAGCTCAAGTGCTTCCAAACAGATGATTTCGTGATATTCCAAATTCAAAACGTGACGATTATTAGATTGCTTTATCAACTAAGTTTATTTCAAGTCGCTGTATCAACTGACTTCGAAAACAGTACGTAATAGACGGTCGCAAATACTACCACACCTACCGTTCATTTCTAAACACAAATACCTACAATTAATATATTCTCTAACGAAATGCCACAAAATCGACAAAAGCTGACTGACGCAATGTAGGTATTTAAAAAAAAAAAACTTACACAAACACTACCTAGGCCAGGATGCTCCCCTCCAAACTGTGCTCCACCTTCAGGTTGTGACCGAGCTGGTTGAAAGTGGATGCAATGTCCGCTGCTTTATCCGGATGGCAAACAATCGCCGTTCTGGCTTCGGACGAAAACAACTGCTTCACATATTTGGAGCCGACCCGGGCCAAATCGGCTTCACTGACCTTGCAGATCTGTCGAACCAGTGCCTGGTTGTAGCCAGCCGATACCTGCTTAAAGCTTGACAAGAACGACTGCACCACCACGTTTCCGATGCTCTTTTCCCGTGCGATGATTTCGAAAATCATCGAACTCCGGGCCGATTCCAGCAGGGTCGAGTCCCATTCCGCGTTCGGTTGCAGTTGCTTTTCCTGTTGGAAGTAAATTGTTTAGATCGAACTTTTCCTCTCCCGTTTCTTCTCATGGGTACTTACAGTAATTGACTTGGCTTCTTTGTAGGCAGCAACCACATTAGTTGCACGATATAACGTAAAGTAGAGCAATCCTTCGTTAGGTCGGGGAACGATGTTGTATCCATAGGCGAATCCTTGACCTCGAATTTGACGCCATAGGGGTCCTTCGAGCTGAGTTAGATACTGCAAGAACAACAGCAAAGGAGCCAGATCCTCGTCGTTGAAGTCGGTAATGGCTTTCGAGCTTTGATAAAGGAAGGCACTTTCGACGCTTCCCAATCCAACTACAACACCGGTGGAGTCAACCAGATTGCCGTCCATGTTCATCAATTTCCAGTCAGGGATAACAATAAGCCTATTATTGAGAAAGCAAAATGTCACAATTTTGTCGATAACCTCCCATTTTCGAGCGTTAATTACTGTTTCTCTGAAGCACCCTTCGATGGAACTAATTTCGCCCAGGGTGCCTCCAAATCGAACTGAAGCATAGCCATCTCCTCCCAATCGGCCGCAATGTGCAATCCGAGATTCTCCGGTCTTGTAATAGTCTCACGCACTTTGTTCAACTTGTTAATTACCTTTTCAGCGCTCTGTTCGCTATCCAGCTGTTCGATCAACGTGCTCAAGAACTTTTGCTGCTTGAGAAGCGAACTGACGCGCATGTTGCTATCTGTTTGAAACAAAACATAAGCCTGTTATGATTGAGAGAACATGGGTAACACATTTACAGCACATGGTCCTACCTTTTTCATAATACATAGCCTTCAGCAAATCCCTAACGATGGAATTACCTTCCCGCTTGGCCTGAGCCACATCATTCACCATTTTCGATGCGCAAACCTTGACTCGATCCGGGGTGAATTCGGTTTTGTGCAACAGCTCTGCAATCCAATTGATACCGGTTTCGTACTTGCCCCGTACGACCTGCATACACAGCGTGGCACTGTTGGCAAACGGACCCAGGCTGAAGCGGCTTCTCGTTTCGATACCCAACCGTGCCTCGGTTTCGATGGTATCCGATTCGAGTGCAGCAACGACCGCCTCGTACGGAATCAACTCATCACCCCGACGAATGGGAGATTCCGTGAGCAGCTCCATCAGCAGGAGCAAATATGGACGAAGTTCTGGTTCGACAGGTTCCGTATTCATGGTAACCATGATCTGAAATCAAATTCCATTAACTATTTCACACAAGTGAATAAACTACAACACGACTCACATAGCAAAAATTGGTATGCAAATGGTACGCCTCGGCGTACACTGGCAGTTTCTGTAGGTCCAACCCGGGTGGATTCTTCCCATCCGTCGCCTTGAAGATCTGCACCGGGTGGAATTTGATACCATCGGTCGAAGGAACCGGAATCGAAGTCAACATCTCGTCCGGTGGTGGCACTTCGTTGGCAGCCATGGCTTCGGCCAGCGCTTTGCCCTTTTGGGCCAAACCTTCCTCGCCCAGAGTGGCTCGCTGTTGCTCGATACGATCCATTTCCTCCTTGGCCGATCGTTTCTGCTCATCGATATTGGGAACGGCACGAACCACGACGTACTTTCCCTGCCGGAATGTCAATAGGGAATAGTTAAGGGCTTTGTGACTGGGGGTGGATAGTCACTAAAATGTTTAAAGTGTCATCGTTGTCGTAACGAACGAGGTATATCGCAATGGCATTACAATCAGTTTTTAATACAAACAGTGACAACAGGTACATTCAGTATACATATAAACAATTTTTTGTTCACCAAAATAAAACACCTCGTTTCTCTTATTGACATACGACCCAATTAAAAAGGACTCCCGAAATATTAATTTAGATAAATTAATAAATTAGTAATAGAGTCGCGAAAGCCATCATCAACTCACGCCTAACCTACGGAATCGAAGCTACGTTCCTTGCCAAGCCCCGATTGATCGAAAAGTTAGCGCCGGTCTATCAACAATCTCTCCGAATCTGTTCGGGTCTTTTGCCAGGTACCCCCGGAATAGCTGCTTGCATCGAAGGAGGACTGCTCCCTTTTGATCGCTTCATCTCCAAAACTATCTGCCAACGAGCCATCGGACTTTACGAGCAGACATCAGGAGACGACAAGGAAGATTCCCTCCTCACGGTGGCGAACAATTCACTCATGGAAGCATCCAACCCGACTCTCCCCCCCAATATCCAAGGTTTACTGGGTCGGAGCGAGGGGTTGGAACATGCCGAAGATTCTGACCGACCACACAATCAAACACCAATTCAGAGCTGGTGCCAATCCTTCATTGGTGGCACAAGCGGTACTCGAACTCCAGAACCGGAAATACGGAGGATACACCATTCGGTACTCGGATGGCTCGGTAGCCCAGGGAAAGGTAGGAATCGGGATTTTCGGTCCAAACCTCGCGGAATACCATAGACTCCCGGATCAGTGCTTTATTTTCTCTGCGGAAGCCATTGCCGCCTTCATTGCAGCCACCATTCCCGACGACCGACCAATAGCCATCTTCACCGACTCCGCTAGTGTGGTAGCCGCACTGGAATCCGATACGAGCAAACACCCTTGGATCCAGGCTATACAGGAACACGCGCCAAACAACACAGTCTTTGTGTGGATACCTGGACACTGCGGGGTTCATGGTAACGTAAAAGCGGACCAACTAGTCAAACTCAGGTCACCGATACATCGAGAGCAGGTCATAGTATCCCGACTTCGAACACATCATACAAACATCTCCCACAACTACAAGGGAGACGGACCTTTCCATAGGATCTGTGATCTATGCCGAATTCCTCAAACGGTGGATCACATTATCTGCCACTGTCCGAAATACGAAGCACCAAGAACCCGCTACGACATCCCGGGAAGCATCAGCGATGCCCTCGGTAACGATTCTACCAGAATTACAGCCCTTTTAGCTTTCCTGCGGGGAGTTGAGCTGTTCGATCTAATCGGATCACCTAACTCACCATCATAATCATCACCACCATACCAGATCACACTCGGAACCAGAATTTCACAACCAACCACCCACATCAGCAACTATACAGACCAACGCAACGAAAACGGAATTCTCCAACAAAATGACAGTATTAAGACAGCCACTAAGCAACTAAGGGACCCCTTTCGGAGCCCCACCCTCGGATGTTCCCTTCCAGGGCCACCAAATTAAAAACTCCGTAGCTAAAAACTCTGTTTCCGGGGCCCCACGCCCTTTTTCGGAAATCCCCTCTGGGATCCAAACTATGTTGTTAGGGTAATTTCCCTCTGGAATTCCCACCCCCCTCAAATAGGGGATTCTCCATCTGGGATTCCCAGAGACGAACCAGCCCAAGGCTGAAAGTCTCTTTAATGAAGAAAAAAAAAAGTAATAGAGTCTTTTTTAACTTTATTAGAGAGATTTTTAGCCGTTGGCTAGTTCATCTCTGTAAAATAGGAGGCCCCATAGGGGGGTTCTGCCTGCAAATTTTGTTGCGGAGTTGGCTTACAATTCACATGTACTCAAATAGAAGTAATTAAAACAGATTCCAGTAAAAAGACTAACAATACAGGCAACAAGAAAAAAACAATCTGGTACATCAAAGTTATGTAGGGTTTTGAAAGAGATCGGAGCTCCACCGTAGGAGGGGTAATCCCCCGTCCGACTCCGAGATGTCCAGACAGCCAAAAGAAAGTTAAAAGGACCTAAATGCCCAGCGTCCTTGAGGAAATAAATAAGTAAAGTGGAAGGTTCGTCGCCCAGTATGTTCCTAATGCTGTTGGGAAGTGCGTACTGCTCCCGTAGTTGTTGGTATTGCGGACACAGGCATAGGATGTGTCCACCGATGCAGAGGTTCCGCAAACGTAGAACATTCTGTAGAACTGCGTCCCACCAAAACTATGTGAGATCCTTGTATGGCCTGTCCTAAGACGAGAAACCACATTCTGGTTCCGTAGTTTCGACATATCCGTCCACTTGCTATTTGTTCCGTTGATGGGAACCACTGATTGGCCCCACTCTGCTTCCCAGGCTTCCCACATGTTGCTGACTATCCATCGCTTTATGTCCTGTACAGGCATGGAAAATCATTTACATTCATTACATGCATTCGTTTACATTCATTTGCCTTTAACTATTTTCATCAACAGCATTCCGCAAAATGATGTACAGAGCTTTAGTAGGGTTTGTTATAAGCTACATTTTTTGTCCATAACTCAAATCAGTATCTCTTATGCATCACGAATTAGAGCAGACAGAACTTGTTACTGTTTTTCAGTGAATGTAAAATACAATCATTGAAAAACAGTAGTGGCTTCTGTTATCTCTGGTTCGTCATGCATAAGAGATATGGATTTAAATTGTTAACAAAAGTTGTAGCTTATAACAAAACCTACAAAAGTACAATACATCATTTTGCGGAATTCTGTTGATAAAAAAAGTTAAGGGCAAATGAATGTAAATGAATGCACGAATTGAATGCAAATGATTTTCCATGCCTGGTCCTGTAGCGGCACTTCGTCGGTGTAACGGACTGCCAGGCTGTCGGCTTCGCTATTTCCTGGGAAACCGCAGTGCCCCAGGGATCCAGGAAAACACCGTGTTCGGAGGTGTGGCCTCCACAATACCCTGTATCCAGGGGTGAGTCAGGGTCTTAGATGTAGGGGCTTGTATCACGCTGTACGAATCGAATAGCACCAGAATGGGCCGGTCCGAGGGTGTTGTAACGGCAACAAAGACGGCCGCAGCTTCAGCGGAGAAAACCGAGCACTGTGGCGGTATACTGCTACTCATCGGTGCTGAAATTCCGACTGACATTCTAATTCCGACCCCGGCTCGAGAAAGCGATCCGTCCGTGTATATGTGGGCATGGGTTGCGTAATCCGCGCCTAGTAGTTCGGCTACTGTTCTCCTCAGCGCTGCAGAGTAATCTCCAGCCTTGAACCTGCTCTTTATCCGACTCTCGAGTTTTGGTGGATGTATGCGCCAACGTACCAGTGGACCTTGGCCACTGGAGGGAGCTCCGAATTGGCAGTCATGCGGAGGAGTCTGTTCCTCTCATCGAGGAGAAAGATCCTGTCATTTCCGGAGGTCATTGCTGTAAAGGCAGCGGCTTTCGTTGCATTTGCTGCGGTTATACGATAGCGGAAGGGCAGAATACCCGCTTCGATGCATGCGGCATTGACGGGCGTTGACGGAAGAAGACCGGAGGCAATCCGAACGTAGGGGTTGAAAGTTGGTGCTAGTATCTGCACGAGCTTTTCGGTGGCGATGCACGTCATCTCAAGACCGTACAGTAGGCGACTATGGATGACGGCTCTTGCAACCCGGAAACGAGTGTCGCGATTGTTAGACCGGTGGGGGCGAGAGATGGTGCGGATCAAGTTGATCCTACTGCAGCAGTCGTTCTTGAATGCCTTAAAGTGCTGCTCGAAGTTGAGGGACCGGTCAACAAGTACCCCCAGAATACCGACCGTCTTCTTCAGTGGTATGGGCTGGCTTTGAACTTTGATAGGTGGCCCGCTGACACGGTGCCGGGATGGACACACGTGGCACCTGACGCTTTTGGTGGCCGAAAGCTGGAAACCTACCGCGCTGGCCCACCTGGCTACAGCGGAGACTGCTGCCTTGGCCTTGATCCTGTTACGTGCTGCTGTTGGGCCGGTAGTTACGATAAGGGGCTGTTCATAAACTACGTAGACAGTTTTTTGGGATTCTTGACCCCCCCCCTCCCCCTGCGTAGACAATTGTCATACAAAAATTTTAAAATTTGTATAGGCCGTGGATAATTGTCAACCCCCCCCCCCCTAAACTGTCTACGTAGTTTATGAACAGCCCCTAAGTACATCGTCAGCATACACGAAAATGTAAACATTTTTCGGCAGTCCTCCGAAAACTCCGTTCATGGCCACAAGGAAGAGGGTAACGGCGATAACTGAACCTTATGGGACGCCCGTCTCTTCTCTGAAAAGCTGGGACCTCGTGTTGCCAACTGCGACTCTGAAAGAACGATCGGTCAGGAAATTTTTGATGCAGTGGACCATGGGTCCACACAGCCCCCAGTTGACAAGCTGCTCTAAGACGAGGGGCGTCCACGTCCTGTTGAAAGCTTTCGATATATCCAGCGAGACGATCTCGGTATGGAGACCGCTATCGTTGGCACTCTTGAGAACCTCCCCTAATGTTGCGAAATAAGTTGACGTTCCGTACCCTTGAAGGAAGGCGTGCTGTCGATGGTCTAGCAGGTTTTCGGCTTCAAGAAAATGCTTTAGCCTCCTGTTGACCATTCGCTCCAGGACCTTGGCCATACAGCATGTCAAAGCTATTGGCCGGAGCTTGCTAACTTCACGGGTTGTTTCATTGACTTTTGTAATAGGGTTAACTTCCCTTATTCCCAGCCTATTTAAGCACAACCTGCACTTAGTATTTCTTAATCTAGCGTAGTTTAGCACCAAACGGAATGTTATTATTACAGATGTCTTCCAAATTTATTTACCTTTCCATATGTTCGTTAGTTCTGATAAGGGGTCGCGAAATATTCGTTTATTGTTGAAAATGCAAAACTGCTTCTGACGGCTCAACTTGGCCTACGGGTTTTCTTGGGCCTATTAGCCATTGAAACGCCTTTGGGATTCTCCTTGGTCTATCGAACGGAAAGAAAAGTGAATTCGCGTGCGCCTTTGGTTTTCGAGATCTTATTTTGCGTTATTCAACACTTCGTCTTGCAGCTATTGAATAGAAATATCGTTATGTTTGTTTGACACGTTCACGCCGAATTCATAGATATATTTGATGTTTTGTGCTCGATAGGCCGGGAATGGGTGATTAGGCCGAAGTAGATTTTCCCCTATACTGCAAAATGTTGGCGAAATGCACGAAATTAGGCACTGCAGTATTTAATGGTAGATTGACAAACATGAGACGGACCGAAAAGTGCTGGATCACCTGTGCTACCATGGGAAGGAGAGGGTTAAAACAAAAGATCAAACTGACATTTGGCAGAAGACAGGCAGAGCCAATCTTGATACCCGATCCAGGTTGTTACTTTTTTTTCCATGATTTGTTTTCCGTCGATCTTGTTTTCGTTGCTGAGCACCAATGCTACCGGCGCCAGAGAGGCAGCTCCCACACTTTGACCCTACCTATCGACCCATCAACTCATGAACCGGGGACCAACGGCTTTACTTCCCTTCCGAAGGAAGGCGTGATCAGAGATGTTATGCCTCAGAACATCCCGGCGGCGCCGACTGGGATTGTATCCAGGCCTGCCGGGGTGAGAGGTAATCACGCTTACCACTGCGCCGCCGGAGCCGCTAAGTCAAAAACAGATTCGGTTTAAGTATCTTGAAAATGTGTCCAAGTTCCTGATTTCAATCTGCGAGTTTGATACATTTCTACAGTGCCAAAACATTTGAATGCTTCGGTCTATGGTTCCATTTTGACCCATTGTGTACTAAAACTAAAGCTAGATGCACCTTTTCTCGCTTGAAGATAACCGGAGAAAGATAGCAAGGACAATTACTGTACGGGACTGATAATCTACTTACATCTACAAGGTACTTATTCAGCAGACCAACCCAGAAGTCCTCCGGCTTCGCCTTCAGTGTCTGCAGACATCGGTTCGAGTTCAAGCGGTTATCAAACTGCAATTGTGAAGAAGTCAGTTAGCAACAAATCCAGCACCTATATGCGACACAGAAACTTACGTCCTGTTCCTCGACTCCATACAGAACATCTCCGATAACGTGGAATGCCACGTTATCGTGCGGATTGCTTTCCAAGTTGCTCAACGATTCCAAAATGTACCTCTCCAGCACACTTTCCATGCGTTTCATGTCGATTTTCTCCTCTCCCTTGCCCAACTTTTCCAGCACCTGCTTGAGCTTCCCGTGAATGGCATCCACCTTGTCCAGCGGTACATTTTCGAATGAAATGTACAGCAACGATTCCGAGTTCTCGGCAATGTTATATCCCACTCGACTGGCAAAAGGATTTTCAATTTCAACAAACTCACGCTGCAACGGACTGACCGATGTATCCGACAGGTAACGCAAGAGGACGGAGCATGCGGTCAACTCCTCGTATTCGTTGGTAGCCTTGGGTCCACGCCATCCCACATTCACCAGTCCACAATCTTCCTCATCCGCTGGGTAGACGATTTTAGTGTCCTTCGACTCAGCTAACGGAGCTACCGGTGTTTGCCAGGGACGACCGAAAGCCGGTAATTCTCCTTTGGAGATGATCTTATCTTCAATCGGTTCTAATGCCTTGAAAATGTCCTCCGGTTCAATCTGACCGGTAATAATGACGTGAAGATTATCCGGACGATAGAACCCAGCATGATAGGCGCGAACTTTCTCGTTGTTAGTACTGGTTCGCAAATTACTCATGATTCCACCGGTTTCCGAACTGTACCCGCAGTTCGGATAAATAGCTCGAAGCATATCCAGATGAATCCGTGATTCACCAGTATTCTCCCGCCCTTGCATCTCACAGTAAACCACTCCTCCATCTTCCCCATCCTCGGAGATGTGATGAACTTCCGTTGCATAGCCAGAGTCCGTCAGAGTCGGATAAAGAATGTGATCCAAATAAACCGGTAGCAATGACAGAAAACCTCCGCTTCCGGCCGTTGTCATCGTGTAGCAAGTATGATCGGTATCGGTCCAGGCATTCGTCCCGGATGCCAAGCACCGATTAGCAACCAGATCCAGAATGCCTTTGTAGGGATATTTCTCCGAACCTAAGAATATCAAATGCTCCAAGGTATGCGGCAAACCATCGTCATCGTGCGCCTCCGTTGCCAGCGCAAAGTATCCATTCACAAGCGGACCTGAAACAATAGAATTTTTGTTTTCTTCCATATTGTTTCACCATTTTCCAAAAAAAAAACATTCTGAATACTGACCTTCCACTTCACCTACGATGACGGTCAATCCTGTACGTTCCGAACGATACTTGCGAACCGGAATAACCCCGTTAGCCTTAGCGCTGCTAATTAACTTGAACGTCATCGTGCCGGTGCCCACCAAACAACTACCAGTCGAATCCTGCGGAAAGTACTCCCCCTCCTGCTGACGGAGCAAACAGTACTGCTGCAGTGAGTTATGGAGCAGCAGCAAACAAAGCGGAACCAAGCAAACGGCAACAGTTCCAATACGGGAAATTTTCACAGCAGTTGAAGCAAGCACACAACAAAGGTAAAACAGATCAGATTTTTAACGAGAAAACAGGAAACGAATTTGCACTAAAATCGAACACACGGTCCACCGCGGGATTAGAAAAATGGCCAATCGACGATCGAATCCAAGTCGGGAAAAGAATGATAATGGAAAAATTACCGGTGACAGATTAGCCGTGAGTGCGACCGAAATAACTAGTGTTGCGCAACGGCACAGTCGTTGCATACCATATGTCAAAGAAAACAGATCTGGTACCGTGAATTCGTCATCTCTTTCATTCTCCCGCCTTATATTCGCAACAGTAAGTGTGACGTCGAAGCGTCAAACTCACAGCTCAGTTTAAAATGCATGGGAGTAAAAGAGATGGCAGATTTCAAATTGTCAGAAGGAAATCAATTTTGAAGAGTGGTCGATACAGGTAGCGGAAAAGAGAGAAACAGATACAGAGAGAACAAAGACCGGGTAAACAAAAACATACACAACACACGGAGAAAAAATACTACCCAAAATTTGAGTTCTTTTTACTTAATATTGACTTCAGCTTCTCACTTGTACTCGTTATCGAGCTCGACAAGGGGGGAGGTGGCTGTCAAAAACGAACAATCGTCGTCTACCTCGCATACCCGCATAAACGCGAACCATCACATGACCTTACCGATAATGGTTATAAATTGTTTATAATCCCTGCTAAACTTCAACTGAAATGATTATGGAACTTTACATGAACGTTTGTGTGATAAAGTTTTAACCTTATGTATTATGGTTTTTTGGAAGCGGACCTTACAAATAATGGGTTGTTAAGAACCATTACCATTCCAAATTCTTGTTTTCTCCATACATTTTCGGAAAAAGAACTTATTAGAACGTTTTTACTTATGGTTTGAGAACATTAATGGTTATGGTTATGGTAGTCAGTAAGGTCCATTAATGGTTTTGTATTATCGCTCAACCGCTCAATACGTGGAATATATCGTGAATTGGTAATCAGTAATTTACAGGCAACCAATTCGCGATATATTCCACATAAAGTTGATCGATGTTTCAAAACCATTCATGGACCTTACTGGTTACCATAACCATTACCATTAATGTTCTCAAACCATAAGCTAAAAGGTTTTAGTATAGTTTTCTTTCCGAAAATGTATGGAAAAAACAAGAATTTTGAATGGTAATGGTTCTTAACAACCCATTATTTGTAAGGTCCACTTCCAAAAAAACTATAATACTTAAGGTTAAAACTTTATCATTAAACGTTCATGTAAAGTTCCATAACCATTTCAGTTGAAGTTTAACAGGGATTATAAACAATTTTAACCATTTAAGGTAAGGTCAATTTATGGTTCGCGCTTATGCGGGTAACTGGTTCCAAACGTAAACAAGCCATAAGAAACCTACAGCGTTTGTTTACGTTTGGAACCAGTTTCATACAAGATGATCAGTAGGCTGATTTGACAGCACGTCCCCCCCAGGTTATAGACCTTTTTGACGTTTAATGGTTTAATAGTCTTTCTCTATCTAGCACACATGGATGAATGCACGGTTTGTTTTCCCACTAATCTGTTTCCCTCTTGCTCGCACTCGTTCGTTTTAAATGGTGCAGTAGTGTGCGCCGATTAAACGTCAAAAAGCTCTATTGTTGTCAAAATAGGAACGAGAGATTCAACCCAACGATATAGTTCTGCCCAATAAGTTACTTTTGAGTAAATTGCATATTCTCAAATTTACGTGAATTAAACTTAATTTTGGGTAGAATATACTTAAGAGTAGAAATACTACACAGAAAAACAAAACTACCCACCGCTTGGGTTTTTTAAACTCAAATTTGAGTTATTTGACCTCTGTCCGTTTCATTTCCTCTCGCTATTGTTGTCAAAAATAGAACGAAAGATTCGACTCAACCGTCTAGTTCCGTACAAGAAGCCAAAATTGAGTAATATGCGATATACCCAAATTTGAGTTAATTGAACTTAATTTTGGGTAGAAAAAATTGAAAATTACTTAGCGATGGGTAATTTTTTTTGCCGTGCTTAAATGCAAACTACTTTGAGCCGGTTTACCCAAATTTGGCTTATTGTACGGAACATGGGAGATGAGTGAAAAGAACTTAATTTTGTGTTGTTTTGAATTTCTGTGTAGAAGGAGAGATGAGCGGAGAGAATGTTTTGAGCCAAATGAACTGTCAAAATCCGAGCCAAACGAACATTCCCATTAGATTTTTTTCTGAGGATTTCTTATTCTTACTAGATTAGTTTTGAAAGTATTGCAATCGAACAGAAATTCAATCACCCTTATGTTTCGTGTGCTTCTCAAATTCAACTAGTTTTTAGAATCAAAAGCAATATTCTAGTTCTATTGATTAATTGATCTTATACCCCGTTCACATTACAGCCTATATTACGTAATATAGGCTGTCTTGCAATGAGCACTCATCCGTAGGATTTCCAGTGAAATCTAGAAGTATGAGTGCTCATTGCAACACAGCGTATATCACGTGATATACGCTGTAATGTGAACGGGGTATTAGCACACACAAAAAAAAAATCATTACTACAATCAAAAAGATCGTTTCTAAAATTAAAAGTTTGCATTGGTTCTTTTTGGTAGAAAGCGGTTCACTTTTAAAATGAAAGTCAGCCAACTTTCACATTAAGAGTTGCCCGTTTACTACTTTTAAAAGTTTAAAATTTCAAAATAAATTGTACAACTGTAAAATGAAAAGCATTACAGTGTTGAAATTAATACTGGTTTAATTTTGTTTAACAACAAACTTTTTGGCATGAAAGTTTGATACAGTTGAAATGTCATGTCAAAGTTTTCAATTGAAATAACAAAATTTTCATCATAAAAATATTATTTTTTTTTATTTTAAGTTCTAGTGCTGTGTAAAATTTACAGTTTCTAATATGTAATAGAAAGGTTAATAAATACATTTATTATGCACTGTTCAATAATTTCTAAATCCTCCGATCCAAGAATGCTTGATCGGGCAGCTGCAGCAAACGACGCGATTTGCGATATTTCCTAGTCCAAAGGCCCGTTTATATGTAAATCTGTTTTCTAATGTAAATGTGGATTGCTTGACGAACGGGCCATTTCCACCGAATTACTGGCCACTTTCAGATGCGCATAGGAATGTTTCCACTGGGGATCCAACGAGGGATCTAACGGATACGAGAAATTGTTCTGGATCTAAAAAAAACAAGGGGAAGATTTTACTTCAGATAATTTATTTTCAATGCGTTATGGTGCCTATACTTACTATCATTTTATCTGCAATCCGGCAGATTGTCTCGAATGTGGTGTGTTCGAGCGACTATGCTTCCTCTTATTAAAATCCCGCTCCATGTTCCTATTTTTGATGGATGGCGGAACTTTCCACAGGTCCAAACACTCAAGCCGGTAGATAAAATTGTCCACATTAAATCGGTTTAAAAATAACGTTTCAGGCCGCATTCGATCGCCGCGAATGAATAATTACGTGGTCTTCCATTTGTGAATTGAAACAGATCGAATTGGGGCACATTTTACCGAGCATTTTACTAACGGAATCGAGGCAAACGTTTGCTAAACTCATTTGATCCCTACACACACGTGACTGTTTTCGCTCTTTATACACTCACACTATTCTAAAACTACTCATAAATGAGTAGAAGTCCACCCAATGAAGACGTAATTTTGACAGCTCAACAATTTTCGATCTGAAAATTTGCACTTTTAGAACTACAAGACAAAAACATAACATTTACTTTTAAATTGAAAACTACCTAGTTGTATTAAATGTTGTCATTGCTAGAATAACGAATTAGTGGATACTTTTAAATTGAAAGGTCAGTATTTTTAATGATACAATTTTTGTTTTTTGTGTGCAACAATCAATACGAAACTAACGATTTTAAATTGGCTCACCACTTTAGTAGCCTATTGGTCCCAAGCAAACGATTAACGTACCCTATTCTAGTTGAAATTCTATTACTACACTATGTTTGTTTTGATTCGCTATGAAAGTTTGGCAGATAACATCAGGGGTGTGTGGATTCATGCAGAACATGCAGGGGTGAGTGAAATAGCTTGGGACTGCTTGGGACCGTTGTTCTGGTACTGAGTGAGCCAAAAATAATAATGATTTTCTTCGGGACCCAGTGGTCTTAGAGTTACCTCTACACGAAACGAAAATCAATTATTTTATTCATGTGTTTCACTTATACATTTTTGCCATTACATCAGCCTTATACATTCCATAAGACAAACCACATAGGTCCTATAAGAATGCAGAAAAGGTATGTGTGACCGCTTATACATTTCATTCAACACATGATCTTCATAAACTTTTTGAAAGGCGTCTGCTTATTAGTTGACTTATACATTTTATGAATAATCAGCAATAGAAATTTGCCAAAAGGTATAAGGAGATTTCTATCCGTATATGGTATTAGCACAAACGAAGTGACAGACGACTAACTGGCGAAGAATTCCATTAAAATAATGTGGTTCACTGTAATAGAATTTTCTTGGAAGCTTGTGCCATCATCCACCAGATGGATTAGTTTTATTGTTTTGATTTGAACAAAGTTGATTTTGTGTACAATGATTCTTTGACAGTGTGCAAAGAGTGCGTATCATTTTGTCATTTTTTTTATGCATTTCAGTTTTGAGTAGAGTGAAAGAGATAGAACCAAAACATTCTAATACATTTGGTGAAAATGCTAGTACAATCCAGTAGTAGCATAGAGGTAACTCTAAGACCACTGGGTCCCGAAGAAAATCATTATTATTTTTGGCTCACTCAGTACCAGAACAACGGTCCCAAGCAGTCCCAAGCTATTTCACTCACCCCTGCATGTTCTGCATGAATTCACACACCCCTGATGTTATCTGTCAAACTTTCATAGTGAATCAAAACAAACATAGTGTAGTAATAGAATTTCAACTAGAATAGGGTACGTTAATCGTTTGCTTGGGACCAATAGGCTACTAAAGTGGTGAGCCAATTTAAAATTCGTTAGTTTCGTATTGATTGTTGGTACCACGGTACCACTTAAAGGCCCACGCACATTAGATCCGGATCGGACGCGTTGCGGCAAAGTGACAGCTAAATCTATTGTCTTACTGTCAAATTTACGTCAACGCAACGCAAACGGATCTAATGTGTGTGGCCCTTAACTGTCACATTGAGGTTAACCCCGACGGTGCAAAACCTTGTTCCTCTGAAAATGCATTAAATTTTAATGGCAGTAGTCAATCTTTGAATTTAACGTGTATCTCACTGCAACTGATTCAACCCTGCGACAGACACGTTTCAAACAGAACCGGTTTAAACCAAATGCAGTTCAGTGCTCGCACTGCCGCAGCCAGTTTTTCAACCATCTTGAACCGGTTCGATCCTGCATTTATTTTAACGTATTTTTCGCACCGAATGAAGAAAGGTTTACAGAGAGGACGCGTTGAGCTTCTAATAAAGTTAAATTATTGCGAATTTATTGTTCGTTTGGCTAGTTTTTGCAAGTGAATTAACAGATTCGGCTGTATAGTGTACCGGATGGTTGGAATTTCCTCCCGCAAAAGTGTTTGAACTGCTGGAAGTAGAGATTCTGTTTTGACTCCCTCTCGCCCCAGCATTCGATGGATGCTTCCGTTATCACCATGGATCCCTTGGATGAAATTGAGTAAGTACCCATTATCTCGATTGACGTTTTGCCTGGACATTGTTTCACGGTTAATCTGGGAAATTTTCCATTCCTCTAGGAAAAGATTGTTTATTGTTGCTGTTTCAATATGAAACGTTTTGTTATGTTTACAGGCGGAATGTGATTCAACAGGCGCACGACATAACAACGACTTCGGTACGGCGAATAAAGGAACTGTGGTCGGAGATCTTCGACGAGCATATCTGCCAGGATCACATGAGCCGGCTGCCGGAACATATTCAAACTTTTTTCGAAGAAGTATATGAGGAAAGTGAGGGCAGAAAGCGCAAGATTGTCGAAGCTATCGAGGCATTGCAGCGGGAGGCTTGCAATCTCAAGCGATTACTGCAGGAGGATCCTGGTGATTTGGAACCACATCCGGGGACGCCATTACATATGGTACAGATCAGTTTGGACCGCAGTTTGGAGTTTATGCGAGAGAAGTTGAAACTACGACTTGATCAAATCGACGAGTACCTGTTCGAGCAGGAGACGCTTTGTGAAGGTAGGAAAAATGGATTTATTTTTCTCTGAATGTATCGTCAATTTTGATTAAACAATTTCAGATTTAGGAGAATTACCTAGAGAATTGAAAAAGGATCCGCTGCCATCGGAAGCAGATATATGCGAATTTCGGTCGTACCTGGATAACCTTTGTGCGGAGAAGTTGCAACGGTTCGATGACATCGCTACAATGCGCCGGGAGATCAAGATTATGATGAGCCAGCTGGAGATAGCGGCCCAGTCGGATCGACAGGAAGAACTGATTGAAGCACGCAATTTCCCACCGACCAGATACAATTTGACCGAACTACGTCATTTGCATGAAATGATTAGGTCCCAATTCGAAGATTTGAAAGACAACATCGATCGCATTCGTGACAAGTTGCAGAATTTGTGGGCTTACCTAGCTATTAGTCCATCCGCTGTGAAACGGTTCCAAAAGTATAACGATTACACGCAGACCACCTACGACAAGTTGTTTGCCGAGTTGGATCGGTGCGAAAGTCTACGACGGGAAAATATTCAGGCGTTTGTTGATCGAACCCGAGTCGAAATCGTGCAATGGTGGGAAAAGTGTCTCAAATCGCAAGAGGAGCGTTCGAGGTTCTCAACTTTTAAGAGTGACGTGTACAATGAAGATCTGTTGACTCTGCACGAAATGGAATTAAACGATCTGAAGGAATTCTACCGCAATAATGAAACTATCTTCCAGCTTGTGGAACAGCGAAAGGAAATGTGGGAAAAGATGATGTCACTAGAGCAAAAGTCAAACGATCCATCCCGCTACAATAATCGTGGAGGAAAATTGCTGGAGGAAGAAAAAGAGCGCAAACGAATCAATGTTCAACTGCCTAAAATTGAGAACAAGCTGCTGGAAGCATGTAAGCTGTACGAAGTGGAAAACAAACGTAAATTTACCATCTTTGGCGAATGTATTGAGGAAGTGATCCGGGAACAGTGGAATAAACGTGAGGAAGGCAAACTACACTCTAGCGCAAGGAAGAAGGCAAATTTGGCCACGCCGACGGGAGCCAACCGAACTGCATTGATGCGAACCCCCAAAACGGCAGAAACCTTGGCGAAACACACAAGCATCAATAGCCGAACTAGGATTGCAGCGGGGCCAAGCGAAGATGCATTAATTAAAAATTCTGCCAGCAAGCTACTGTCCGCTTCGAAGCTTTCTTCCGCCGGCATCAAGCGGAAATTGGCTTCTCCGAAAACGGGAGCTATCAAACGATCTCTACTGAAAGATTTAAACAGTCCAAGGACGTTTCTGAAACCCGGAGCTCCGGCGTCAGCGGGTAAGAGTCGATTAGCACAGAAATCCCCCGGCAAAATACCGACCATCAAAGTGTACGATACGAAAGGCGGCCCATCGGCAGCTCAGAAAAGGGTAGGTTATTCTGCTTCAGCTTTGCAAGAACAATAAATCAATAATTTTCTTATCTCAATTCAGCGATCAAGGCGCAAATCTCAAAACAAATCCCGCCGTAGCGTATCGAAGGCTCGACCGGACATCGTCATCACTTCTAGCACGAGTACCACATTGCAATCGGACACGGTATCGTACGAACACTTTGAGGTGGGTCAATCAAGAAATGAAGTATTTTTTCGACCAGTTGCTAAATCCTGTTCCACATCATGGCAGAATTTCTTCGAGACAAACACACCGAATCGTTCGTCTCTGATGCCCGGTCGGGCAGGCACAGCAGGAGCAGGAGCCGGAACTCGACCCAACACCCGTCGTCAGTTTCGCAACCACGGATTACCGCAGTTAAATACCACCGGCAATCCACTCAGCACACCGTCCAAGATAACGTTCCGTAATCCGACAGCTTCGTCCACAATGTTGGCCACCACTATACGGTCCCCAGGGCCAAGTAACACCACCGCCAGCGGCAAGAAGCTCATGTCAGCCGCCAAGAACTGTCCGATAATTTTCTAATCTAACCGATAGAGCGTTGATTGCAAATCGACTCGACTCCTTCGTTCAACGATTGTTCTGAGAAGTTGGCAATATTTTATAAATGTTACGTTGTTCTTAATTATTACTAATTCATCCAGGATCAATTTAACACACCCGAACCAGAAGTAGCTGCCGTTGGTTGCGCTTAAATTATTTCACTCGTACCGCTTATTTAGTTTATGCGCTTTTTCGTTTTAGTTTTTTTTTTTTGTATTATAACATTTTGTAATTATAATGGATACATCTGAAGAGAACAACGATTATTTTTAGTTAATTTTATACACTTGTGATTGAGATAACCTTACGAACAATGAATCATCCCGATCAAGAATATCATAGATAGCAGCTAGCTACGCAAAGCTCTCTACTAGAAACTACCGGTGGTAAGTCGTCATGCTACGGGGGACCAACATGCATCCCACCTAGCTTAAAAATGGATCGTAGATCCACTCGTTGTACAAAGTTCAAAAATCGGTTTCTGTCTATTAATATATTTTAAAAGTTTAAAAGAACGGAAATTCGGTACTTGCTTAGTGCTTATTTGAGATGACCTTCAAAGTTGATAAGCTCAATCAATGTTTGATGATTAGTATATGAATTACAGGGCTGTTACAACTGGCGCGGATTTCGCGATTTTCGCGGATTTGAACTTTCAGTCGCGAAAATCGCGGAAACATTTGTTTATTTATTTGTTATGGTTGCATCAACAGACTAGAAATAGTCCCAATAATGTGTTGTAAAAAAAGTACAGATTATACAGACGACATACATATACTACAGTTACTACAGTTACAAACGAAAATAACTTGGAATGCATTGTCAAGTTACTAAAAATTTATAAGTCTTAATTTTACACTTAGCTTTGGGCATCAAGCGCCTTTGGTCAGCAAAAAAGGCAGAGAATCTTCGGCGAAGCATATTCCGTGTCAAGTGGAAATCGAACATCGACGCTACTCGGTTGAACACTCGCTGCAAGCCGTTAATAGCGCTCCCTAAGCTATAATTAGTTCGAAGAAGTGGAAGTCTTAGCATAGTAGTGATCGAGGTTGAACATTAATGTTCAATTGTTGTAGAATTGCTTCGCAGTCGATTCTTCCTTGCAGAGTATCGGCGACGGTTAAGGCTCTGAAAACATCTCTTCGGATACGTAAGGGCTCGACATTGATCAATTGGCAGCGATTCTCGTAGCTTGGAAGACGAAGTGGGTATCTCCAAGGCAGCTTACGGAGCGCGAAGCGAAGAAAACGTCGTTGAACAGATTCAATTCGCTCGCATTATTGTAGTTCGGGCTCCAGACAGCAGAGCAGTATTCCAACGTAGATCGTACGAGAGAGCAATAGAGCGATTTCAAGCAGTAAATGTCCGTGAAGCTTTGAGTCTAGAAAAACGCCTAAGTCTTTCACGCAGTGCACCCGTTCGATAGTCGTGCTTAGTAGTTTGTAGTTGAAAATAATCGGTTGTTTCTTGCGTGAGAAAGTAATAACTGTACACTTAGCTGGGTTGACCACCAGTCGGTTTAGACTACACCAGTCAGCAAAGATGTCAATCTGATTTTGGAGAGAACGGCAGTCGGCGAGTGAGCGGATGCGCAGAAAAACTTTCAGATCGTCTGCAAACGATAATCGTGGCTCTGTGATAACATGGTGAACGTCGTCGAAGTAGAGGAGAAATACCAATGGTCCCAGATGGCTGCCCTGAGATATACCGGACTTTGCGCAGAAGCTTGCTGAGCAACAAGTACCCAAAGTTACTGTCAATTGGCGCTCCGTGAGGTATGAACGAAACCATCTCAAAAGATTTCCACCGATCCCTAGCCTATCAAGCTTAGCGATCGCAATTTCGTGGTTCAGCTTATCGAAGGCTGCCGTAAGATCTGTGTAGATAACGTCCGTTTGGGTCCGAGCAATCAAACTGTCTGTGATGTAAGACGTTAGGCACAGCAGGTTCGTAGTTGTGGAACGCCCAGTTATGAATCCGTGTTGATCTGTACTTAGATATTGCCTGCAATGCGCATTTAGGGACTCTATGACAACCAATTCAAAAAGTTTTGATACAGCACTCAGCGACGTGATTCCCCGGTAGTTGTTTACGTCGCGTTTGCTTCCCTTTTTATGAACAGGAAACATATCCGCAGTCTTCCAGCAAGACGGAAAGATGCCGCTGGAAAGAGAGAGCTGGAATATGCGGCGCAGTGGATCTAAAAGACAAGTGATGTTCTTTTTAAGAATAATCGACGGAACACCATTGGGTCCAGCCTTAGTTGAAGTCTTAAGTTTAGATGCTGCTCTAGAAATCGTATCTGTAGTGGCTTCGACCATGCTGAGCGTTTGGTTGATCAAAGGAACATTACTGGCCGCGGAAGTAATGATATTAGCGGAGAGTTGCTCGGCTTCAAACACACTAGCAAATTTGGCTGAGAACAGGTTGCAAATGTCTTGTTGATTTCCAGCAGTTTCACCATTAAAAATCATGGAAGAGGGTAAGCCGACTTCCCTGCGTTGCTCATTTACGAAGTTCCAGAAGGATTTCGGGTGTGATTTTAGCCCTCGTTGAATCCTCCTTTGATAGCGTTGAAAACAGAGACGACTTAACCGCTTATACTCGTGGTTGAGTCTGACATAGTAGCATTTCAGTGGCAGTGTGCGGAGTTTAGTAAATCTTCTGAGAGCAGCCTTCTTAGTTCTTTTCAACGAGCGAAGATCTTTCGTCATCCACGGGACACGAGAGTCGATATGGATGATCTTTTTGGAAACGTGTCTGTCAATGAGATATGCCAAGACGTGAGAAAAGGTTTGTGCAGCAATGTTGACGTCTACAGGATCTAGAATATGCTCCCAATCTAGATTAGACAGCACATGGACGATACTGCAATGGTCAGCTCTACGGAAGTTATATGACACAGCGTTTGGAGTGCTGGTGAAATCATGGACAATATTATTTTCGATCACGATAACTAAAGCAGGGTGATGATGCACAACATTAAATGATGTTGCGAAAATCGCGAAGCTGTGCTGTCACAAAAAATGTGGAATTCATCCGTCACGGATTATTCTGCTGTCATCCGGTAAATAATCGAAAAATGATCTCAATTCCATAATTCACACCGGATTTTCACGGAAATTCCCTGAGGTCTGTCCAATGTGAGACATTTTCCTTTTTTCCAATATGAACATAACATTTTTCGTTGTCAAATCATAAACGAATCGTATATATGCGAGTAATTGCCATGTATACCGGATATTCTAGGTTCTCCAAATCATCCTGGAGGTCAGTTGATTTGTTCAACTATATCAACCAAGACTCCAATAATATCTGTAGTATCGAAATATGTCCAAACAGATTCAAAGTGTCTATGTGTATTGCACCCGACCTTTTGCTACGTAATACAAGATATTATAGGTTCTGAAATCATTCTGGAGATCAGATAATTTTTCTACTAGATCACTAATTAAATATCTGTAGTATCGAAATATGCCCAAACAAATTTGCAGTGTCTATGTGGATCATGCCAAATGTTTTAGGATTTCCAAATCGATATTTGATACTACAGATATTATCCTAGTCTTTGTTGATCTAGTAAAACTAATCATCTGAACTATAGGACGATTTGGAGAACCTAGATCATCTGGTATACGTGGAAATAATTAAACATTATCCATATAGACACTATGAATCTGTTTGGACATATTTTGATACTACAGACTTCATCCCAGTCATGGTTGATCTAGTTGAATAAATCATCTGAACTCCAGAACGATTTCTTCTTCTTCTTATTCGCATTTCAAGCTTATTGATTAGTGCATATTAGCTTATTGCATGCTCTCAACTTAGTGTTCTAAATGCACTCTCAAAGTTATAAATCGGGAGCTTTCGATGCCAATACCAATGCATGGATTTGTATATTGTGTGGCAAAAACACAATTATACCACAAACGAAGTGACAGACGGAGCGGCTCGAAAACTTTGGTGACTAACCTGCTGTTTCAATTTTTCAGTGTACCACATGGCAACACCACTACTACTGGATTGTACCACATGGCAACACTACTACTAGATTGTACTAGATTCCATAGCATTTTCACCAAATGTATTAGAATATTTTGTTTCTATCTCTTTCACTCTACTCAAAACTGAAATGCATAAAAAAATGACTAAATGATACACTCTTTGCACACTGTCAAAGAATCATTATACACAAAATCAACTTTGTTCAAATCAAAACAAAAAAACTAACCCATCTGGTGGATGATGGCACAAGCTTTCAAGAAAATTCTATTACAGTGAACCACATTATTTTAATGGATTTCTTCGCCAGTTAGTCTTCTGTCACTTCGTTTGTGATTATACTCTATTCCCAGGGAAGTCGAGAAAATTTCCAGCCCGAAAGATTCCCTCGACCGGACCGGGAATCGAACCCGCCGCCTACGGCTTAGTAATACCGTGCCTTTACTAACTAGGCTAGGCTATGAGGTCCAGAACGATTTGGAGTACTTAAAACATCTGGTATACATGACACTGTGCGTCTGTCTGGAAATTTTTCGATACTAAAGACATTGTCACAATCTCGGTTGATCTAGTAGGTCAAATTATCTGAACTCCAGGACGATTTGAAGAACCTTGAACATCTGGTTTACTCGGAAATAGATCATGCATGATCCACATAGACACTTTGCATCTGATTGGACATATTTCGATACTACAGACATTATTGCAGTCTTGGTTGATCTGGTACAACAAATCAACTGATGTCCAGGACGATTTGGAAAACCTATAATTTCCGGTATACACAGTAATGAGTCGTGCATGATCCACAAAGTCACATTTATACGATTCGGTTATGATTTGATAACAAAAAGTGCTAGGTTCATATTAGAAATAAAAAAAAATCATGAAAATGTCTCACCATTGGGCAGAACCCAAGGAATATCCGTGTAAATACACAACCGCGACTTATGAAACTTTGGTAATTTCTCGATTATGTGCAGGGTTTTTGGTTTGAATCGGTAAAAAATTGAGAAAACTAGAGCCAACATTTAGGACAGCAAAATTCGTCTCTGGTTAACTTTCAAGAATTTCAAATGAAAATACATTAATTTTTTAATAATGTTTCATCAAATCTAGGCCGGTATTATTCAATAGAATCTCATAATGTAAGGGTGTTTTATTATGTTACTATTACTCAGAATTTATACTATACATAAATAACTAAAGATGACACAATGTTATTCTTTTTTTTTATTCAAAGGTTACAAACGATACTCCTTTAGCTCAGTCGGTAAAGGCGCAGCTACAAAGCAAGTCCATGCTGGAGGCGACTGAGTTCTGTCCCCGTCCAGTCTATTAATTTTTCGGGTTGTAAAATTTCTCTACTTCCTTGGGCATAGAAAGCTCTCAATTAAAATGTGAAAGTACTTCAAAGAACACT